CTAACTAACAAATACCTATAATAAGTGTATCAACATTTTTATCAGCTCCATCTCCATCTAAATTTCGCAGCTAAACAGTCAGAGGAGAGATTTTAGGAAGTTAATCAAATTGAAACTTTAACAGTGATAGGGCAGAAAAAAGAGTTTGAGAAGTGAATTCCCAGCAGGAATTACACCCTTGGTTATATCTACATAGCATTTTACTAATAATTTTAATCTTGGCTTTGTTTAAGTATAAACTGTTGCTCACCTGAGCTTCTTCTCACTTCCAGAGGTCAGGTGACTGTTGACAAAGCCAAAAGATGTACCGTTGAACATGAAGGACACCCCCACTGCTCCCTTGTTTCCTACAAAGCAAACATCCTAGTGAGCACTGATAGGTAATTGTTCAATCAACTTGTCATTAAATGGCTTGAGCAGAAGCAGAACTGCTTACCCAGAGTGTTGGCGATCCCCGTCTTCACACTGTCTGTAAAAATGTGGGAGATCCTGTTATCGTGCTCCGGTTTGGCCAGGACCACAATCCGAATGTTCCACAGAGTGTGGATCGCCACCTGGGTGTTAGAAGAAGACATGATGCACTACTGCTCTGCAGCTGCAGTCATTTATAACTTTTTTTTCTTTGTCACAGTCACTTACCTGTTTAAAGCTGATGTTTGTAATGTTCCTCAGGACACCTTTCACTGTATCTGCCCACTCCCTCTCGCCCAAAGGATCCTCCTGGGTGCCGATGACATAAAAATCATGCGGGATGTGATCTGCGGTGTCATCTTGTGTCTTCCCTTGGCCCTTACACTGAAACCAGGAGTTGAAGTTGTGGGGAGGGCCGGCATTTCCTGTGCGGAGCATTTTATGTTAAATTATTATTGTCATGAATTTAAATGGATTCAAATGATGTAAGGTGTTAACATTGTTACCCATGTTCCAGGTGCCAACAAACACTGTGATCATGTCTGGTTCAGGCTTTTCAGAGTGTTTGTTTTTCATTTGTTGAAGTAGTTGGCAAAATCCCTCTCTTTTCTGATTAGACATTAGACAAAAAAGTGAGTACAACGAACACATTTAAACATTGTGAATTTCATTTGACTGAAACCCTAAAGCCCCTGAAAACATGTTTTCTCAATCAGCTTCTTATTATATAAGACATGGGATTCTACACAAACCCACTATTTTCTGCCAAGGTTAGAACAGTTTGATTTATTTTACATGAGATTCCTGTGTTTGCTCTTCTCTTTGGTTAAAAGTAGATGGCATAATCTGTAAAAAGTCACATACTCCTCAGTCAGGATAAAGCAACAATTTGAATCAAACATTTTTGACAAATGTGGATTGATTGTTTATTGATGGCTAGTGAAATGCTAATGTTGGCATGTCACTTTCATTCATATTTAATGAACATTTA